GTTTGCAGGGTAAGCGCAGTGCCCTGCAGACCACCCTTCTGAGGACACCAAGTGGAAGCGCTGTGCCTTTGCCTGTGTGGGTACTTGTGCGGCAGAGCTGGGTTGGGAATGTGCCTAGAGAGGCTGTCTGCCCCTATGATCTTGTCTCATGGGTCCGCTTGGAAGAGTATTCTCTTCCCTGCCCAACTCGTCAGAAAACTAGTCTCAGGTTGTAATCCCTCAAGCTCTCAGGAGGATAGGGGATCAGGGGGTAGGATCAGGAAGCACTAATGGCTTCCTGTCACCTCAAATCTCAGGGCTTCTCTGGTTAAAGCTGTGACATACCCGCCTGTGTGTGTGTGTGTGCTGGGAGGGGGGCTCAGAACTCCTGACTTGGTTCAGGTATTTCATTGTGCCCTTGTGGTTCCAGAGCCACCACCTACCAGCAGAAAGGATGTAGAGGGCTGTGTCCTCGGTGCCTGGACAGGGCAGTCCTGGGACCCCAGAGGCCAGTGCAGAGCTGAGCACTGCAGCTCTCCACTCCTGCCTGCTGCTGGCTTGACCCCAGGGGCATATGTTGGACTATAGCCCAGACCCAGCTCTGGGATGAATTGCCATAGCAGTAGAGGTGGCAGAAGAACTCTGAAGGTCCTGGGCCAGGGCCAAGGACTGAGAAGCCGTCTCACCCGCTTTGGTCATCAGCCTTTAGATTCTGGTTACCTGGGTACAGGGCAGGAAAGAGGGCCAACGGCCTTTGTGTGTGTGAGCTTCATGACCAAACACCAAGCCAAAAAGGCTGGACATCAGAGGCCCAGGTCCTGGAAGGATTCACAGCAGTTCTCCAAGCTAGGGAGAGGAGGAAGTGAGTTGGGGGTTGGGGGGGAGGAGTGAGAGGGGTCTGAGGGAAGGCGGACTGCAAATCCCCTGGGGTGGCTGGACAGACAGGAAGATGGGCAGAATGTAGGTGTCTGGGGCAGATGAGAGCTGAGCCCCTCCCTGATGCCATGGCTTCAGGAGGCCGCTGTGGCTGTGGCTGTGTAGGCAGGGAGGAAAGATGTCCTCCCTTCTCACAAGACCTAAGTCTACCTGTTGCCCAACAACAGGGCAAGACTGAACGTAGGTATCTAAAGTGCTGGTCTGCAGAGAGTTCCTCACTGGGCTGCAGAGGGGCTGCAAGGGCCAGGCCAGGCCTGGGGATCTAGATCCACAGTTACAGATTCTGGGGAGATAGAAGTACCTGAACAGAGTCAGACTGACTCCACCAAGGGGCCTGTCAGGCCTGCGTACAGCATGTCCTCTAGGTGTTCCACAGAGATGTGCTGCCGTGAGAGAACAGCAGGACTTTCCATCACCCTCTGCAGACCCAGCAGCTGGTGGCTGACACAGTCCTGCTCCACCCACCGGCTGCACCTTTCAGCCCTTTCACGCTTCTAGGTCCAGGCGGGGTGCATTTGATTCAGGCATTAACTGCCCCTGAGCAGGGACATCAGAGTAGCTCTACACAGGCGCCAGAGAGGACCAGAACACCAAGGACCCTGCACATGCCCTCCTTTAGTGCACCTGGGCCTGGCTGCCTCCAGGGCATGGTGGGGTGGCCCTAAAGGACCCCATGCCTCCTGTCAGGAGCTACACGCCACAGTCCCTCTCCCTCTCACAACCTTGGGGAGGTGGGGTGGTTGTGGAAATGAAAGCAGAACAATGTCTCCCAAAGATACTTTCTACTCGCCACCTTCAACTCCTCAGAAATAACCCTTGGGCTAGGCGAGCCCTGGGCCTGACTGCAGGCCCTGTGGGGTGTGGATAGCTAAGAGGCAGGGATGGGGAGGCTGAGGCCAGTCAGGCAGGTCTGGGGAGGGCACTAGAGAGGGCATGCTGGAAGACGAGAGGAAAGCTCCAGGCACTGAGGGTAATCAGTCACCTGACGTACTTGTTAGCCTACTTCACAGGGCCAGGACAAGCATGAGGAGCCAGGCATGGGGAATACAGAAGGAAGAAGACACTGCACTCCTCACTTCCACCAGGGCATGTCCTGAAAAACATCTGTGCCCCATGAAGGCAGCACCCAGCTGCACTCTAGGACCCGGTCACCTGATGCACCCTGAGGATCCAGCACCTCCCTGTGTCTGCTGCTCTGTGGGAGGGGGAGGGAGGTTTGTGTTTAGAAAATCAAGATGTGGCCTCATCCATCCAAGGTCAACACCAACAAGGGAGTGCCACAGCTGAAACGCCACAGCCCGTGCTTTACAGAACGCAAGTTGGATGTGTGATTTAGAGCACTTCAAAGGCTTCTCAGGGTGGACCCCCACCTCTGCTCTTTCTGCAAAGGGCACTTGTGGACCTCCCGTGGGCCCCAGCGCCACTCATGGGGCCAGTAGTGAATTCAGACTGGGGGCCAGGGACCGGAGGTGGGAAGTCACTTCTTTGGAGGCAGGTGAACAAGGCTGTCATTGGAGAATCATTGTTTTTCTCTTCCTGGAGTTTCTGACAAATGAGTCTATTTAATGCTGCCAACAAAGCGGACGAGGCATTGCTGCTCCCAGGACCCAACACACCGGAACCCTTCTGCAGGTGCCACCTCCGCCCCAAGATGAGGAGACAGGCCTGGGGAGGGAGTCAGGGGACATGGCCCCATCCTGGTTCAGTGGCAGGATGTGTCTGACTCAGAGGCCCAGCCTCTTACCCCAGCTCTGTGCTTCATGCCATGCCACCGTTTTTGGGACAGCATTTCTGTGGGATTCTCTTTCTGGGAGGCACTGCCATGCTGGGGCCTGACCTCCATCCAGCCTGCACTAGCTTCTGTGTCACTGGAGACAGCCTCTTCAGACCTTGGGGGAATGGAAAAGGGCCCTCACTGGCTCCCCCCAGAGGAGGGCAGTGGCATTTCTGCCACCCCACAACCCAGCTAGGGCTATTGCTTTGTTTCAAAGACCAGATGAAGTCTGTAGGCCTGAGGAGAGTCTTAACTACAATTTCCCTTGACTCAAAAAGAGGAGGGAGACGTAGTTTCTTTAGTCTGGAATTGGTCAGACAGATGAAGGCAAGGTATGAACAACTAAGAAGGGTCTCTCCCAACCCAGACAGGAAAGAACCTTGAGAACCCTACTGCTTTACGGCTCAGTGCCCTGAGACTGCCTCCTGCCCCTGCAGCGCTCTGGCCTGTCCTTTCCTAATAGACTTTGTTGCTGGCTTCACTCTGGTGCTTTGTGAAATTCTTTTCTAGAGAAAGCCCACAAAGTCCCTTGGGCACCATGGTCTGCAACAGAACTGTCCTCCTCAGTGAGGTGGCCCAAACTTCCCTGGCCCCCCTGCTAGGGGATCTAAGGAAGACTAGCAACCTGCAGAACACTGAGGTCTCTAAACACAAGGCACACCACTACCACTTTGCTTAATAACCCAAGTTCTAAGCAAAATTTTTGAAGCAAATTCTCTAAGCCGCCAAAATAGGTGCTACACAAATTATAACCTATTTCCTTCCATTTCCTCAAAAAGGTGCCTTATGTTCTTTTAGAACAGTCCTGGCTCTTGGTTTTCCTCATCCTAAGGATCTCTGCATGAACACCTTGTCAAGGACTCCAAAAAGCACCTCCTCCCCAGTACACGGAGAGACAGACAGCGTTTCAGCATCACTGGTGGGAGCCAGATGGCATAAATGCACGAGCCTAACCAGGCAGCACTGAGGGCCAACCTCAAAACCCCACCCTGTGAGGCCCCTAAAAGCTTTTGTGTGTCTTTCTCCTTCATTATCGTCCTTGTCATTTGAGATTCGTTGCTCATCCAACATGAATGTATTTACATTCATTATTTCAGGCAGGCCTCATGTGACCCCATGGTCAGCCACTTTACAGTGATGCACTCAAGACTGAGGAGGTCAGCCAGCATCTTCAAGGAAAAGCAGGACTCATAATCCATGAATTCTGTGTAAGATAATTTTAGAATACCTACCGTTTAACATAGTTTATGAGAAGCACTTAAAGACATTTATGGGAAAAATCAATGCATCTGGATGCTTTTCCTTATGTTTTGTGGGTTTTGCACAAAGCATTATTTAACAACTGTTTTTACTCTGGGCAGACCCCAGCATCAAATTTGGACCCGTTCGTCAAATTAGTAATGAGGACATCATGCTGCAGAAGGGCTTTTGAGAAGCCTTCTGGGCCAGTCATTCACAGAAATAGAAAATCCTGCTTGTAAACTAATCTTCTCCTGCTGAACATTTTCTGGGGACTGAAGATCCCAGGCAGTCCATTCTGGTTTTAAGGAATCATGACCAGGAGAAGAATATGGTGTTGTTATGGGCATGTACTAATGCCAATTAATGTTATGTTCAACATTCACATTAACACATTAACATTATGTTCACCAGGCCCCTTTCAACTGAGTTAAAGGGGAAAGAAAAAAGGAGCACAAAACAGAGGTGAGTCAAGGTTTCAAAACTTCTTTCTCCATGGTGAATGTAGAATTTCATTTGGGAACCATTTTTACCTCAATGAAGCTTCTCACTAATTTCTTTTTGCTTAGGTAGGAATAGCCAAAAACAAAAACAAAGTAACCTGACATGTTCTCAAAGCTACAGGAATATTTTTGAGCTCTTGGAGTCAAGAGCCAAGAAAACAACCTTCACAAGCCTTGACCCTGGTCCTGCCTGGACAACCTGCTGGCAGGTGGTGGTGGTGGTGGTGATGGGGCAGGTTATTCCAGTCAGCACTACATTACAAGATGGCTCAGAGGACAGACCCACCCTCTCACATATTCCACTTGCTATTGTAGGTCTCTGCAGGGCTCTATTGTAGGCCCCAGAGCAAGGAGGGGAGGCGACTGTGTCTGGACAAGCTCTGTGTGGTCACCACATCTTAACATGAGAGTGACAAGCTGGAATCATGCTGTGTGTGTGCCCGCGCCACTGTCCTCTGCTGGGGGCACAGAGACTGGACATACAGGCCCACATGAGGATCTTGGGGGTTGCCTTGACAGGCAGATCACATGCCAGTCCCATCCCTCCACCCATGCAACCCTGACCCTACCTCATTGATGGCCAGCTGCTCGCCGCCCCCTCCAGGGTGGCTGTAGTGGTGGCTGGAGCTGTCATACAAGTCCTCCTCACTCCCCACCTCGTCAGCACAGATGACCGTGTTCAGAGCTCCATCTGGGACGGCTGGAAGGAGAGAGAGCAGCTGGCAGGGAGGAGCTGGGAGGAGAACACAGAAAAGGAGACGAACCTGTTCAGGATAAATGCTCCTTCGTAGGGAGGAGGAAGAAGATCTGGGAACTACTTTTAAACCACTTTTGCTGCAAGAACATGAGGTCTGCTTGAAGGCATGCAGGACTTTCAACCAGCGCCGCAGTCACCAACCGCTTAGCCCCCACCGGCACATAAGGAGACACTAGCGTCTGTCCCAGCACGCATTCCGGAAGCCCCTCCAGCTGAACTCAACTCAAAACCATTTAGCAGTGTGTCAGGTATGGTATGACATCCTTAAGAAAAATCATGAAATATATTCATATATATATATATTATGAATATATTCATATACATATATACACACACACATAAATACATATGCATATATATCTCCAAAATATATATGTGCAAATACAATTTAATACAATTTGAAAATTAATAAAATGTATATGAATGTTTATCCTGCTTAAGAAAAACTACAAACACCCTTGGTGTTAGGGTAAGGATGCAGTATTGCAAGTTAGCTACAGTCACTCAGTACGAGTTCGATCCCCCACTCAGGAGGTGACCCACATGGTGAGGCAGACCTCTCCTGACCTGCCCGCTGCTCCCCTCAGCCGTGTACTTTGTCGATCTGCCTGTTCTGACCCCACTCTGTCTCTGGTGAAGCCTCTCACCGCACCTGCAACTCTGGCTTGTACCCCAGTTCTGTATGCATAAAAACAAATAAATCTTAAAAACTCCAGAACCTTAGAATTCAATCCCCGGTGTACACTGCCCTCCTATTCTCCTTTCCAATCTTGGGAGAGAGATAACAGTTCAAAACTTTATAAGTTGTTCCCATACTTGTCCTTGCTTTAGTATTTATTTTGGCCGAGTTTGTCATACTTTAGCCTTATAGAAATGGAACTATTCCGTAGTTTTTCTTCTCAGGCCAGCTTTCTCACTCGACTGGTTCATTCTCACGATGCACAGCCTTGGGTGTTAGGAATCCTTCGACGTTTGCATATTAGCTGTGCTGCCAGAAGAGTGGGTTGTCCTGGGTGATCGTTGGTGTGTACGATGCTCCTCAGACACGTCCACACCCCTCCTGGCAGGGGCTCTGGAGTTTCTCTCAAACAGGGATTCTCAGTCTCTTTTTCATTATTGCTCCCCTGCACCCACAAAGTCTTACACACTGTTTTGCTAATCCTCCCAATGAAATTCCAGCATCACAAATACAGTGTATATTGTTTATGTTCTATGGCTCTTTGGAAGAAAAGCATCATAATGGCTAAGATTTTGTTTCCTTGGGTGAAATCATCGTTCCTGGTATGAATTCATGTGCCAGGGTAGAGGCTCCCGGTGTTACATCCTGGGAATGCCAAACTGTTTCCCAGAGCTATTCTGCCAACCCCATCACTCTAGCCTAACAATCCTGAGTTTGGAACTGTTAGACATTTTAATTTTTGGCAGGCTCATAGGTATGGAATGGTATCTTCCTGTGGTTTCAACTTACATCTCTCTGATTGCTAATGAGTTGAACATGTTATCTTACTTATGGGCCATAAAATTAACTATATCACATAGTGTAAGCATTTGACAAGTGATATTAAGATTTGTTTGCTGAGTCATTCATTTCAAACACATCCACCTTGAAAAAATACATTGCCAGTTACAAACCAGGTAAGGAGCCAGGCCATCCCATCCAAGAAGCTGCCTCTTTCAGAAAATTCTGTGGGGGGCCTCCCTGATGGTACCCCAGGAGTTAAAGACAGCACTATCAAGCTATCGGCAGCCACTGCAGTAAAAGTTCAATCCCCAGATGGCCAGGGAGCTGACCCACATGGTGCAGCAGATCTGTCCTGTCTCACCTGCTGCTCCCCTCAGCAGTGTATTTCAGTGCATCTGCCTGTTCTGCTCCCCACTCTGTCTCTGATGAGTCCTCTCACCGCCCCTGTACCTCTGGGCTACAGCTCCTGTATGCATAAATAAATAAATCCTTTTTTTTTTTTAAAAAAAAGGATTTATTTATTTATACATACAGAACTGGGGTACAGGCTAGAGGTGCAAGGGTGGTGAGAAGATTCACCAGAGTCAGAGTGGGGAGCAGAACAGGCAGATTGATGAAGTACACTGCTGAGGGAGCAGCAGGTGAGACAGGACAGGTCTGCCACGCCATGTGGTCACCTCCAGGACATGTGGGGATTAAACTCATGCTGAAGTGGCTTCAGTTTCTTGGTGCTATGCTTAACCTACTGTGCCACTGGGGAGGTCCAATAAATCTTTTTTTAAAGAAGAAAATTTTGATGATGTAGGTGACTGACCATTAGACTTAACTACTTGCTGTTTCTTCCCATGTATTCACCACCTCTTTATTCTTTGACCTCTCCAATAATAAGTGAACCTGTGAAGCCCTGGGTAACCTACCCTCAAATCCAATAAAGACTGAACTCTGGTGTCCCTCTCCCCTCCTCCCCCTACTCCCCCTTTATCTTGACCTTGCCATATAATTAGGTGTGCCAGGTGCCATCTAGGATTTAGGAGTAATAAACCTTGTTTTCACAAAGCTCCCTGATGGTTGTTGTTGAGGTGCATTAAGGTACACAAGGGCTGGTGCAGCCCCGACATGGACACCAGATGGGAAAATGTCTGGGATTTACCACTGACGCGAGTGCAGGTGCGTGCCCGGAGGCATGCCCGGCTGGCATAACATCACTATCAGTAGGCTGAGGCTGATTCCCAACAGTTACTAGTATTATTTTTTAAAGATTTATTTATTTATGCATACAGAACTGGGGTACAGGCCAGAGGCTCAGGGGTGGTGTGAGAGGCTTCACCAGAGACAGAGTGGGAAGCAGAACAGGCAGATTGAGAGGCTTTGCCAGAGACAGAGTGGGGAGCAGAACAG